CAAGGTCATTGGGACTGGGTCCCCTATTCGCTATATTTACCTTTTGTTGTTACAGCGTTGCCGCAAGAAACGAATGATTTTGTACTGAACCGAATCATCCTTAACAGTCAGGATTTCATACAGTAAGATGTTTTTATTTATATAATATGGCAAATTCAAATAAATTAAAGTACAGTAAAAGTTTTACGCATAAAAGCATATCGCAAAAGAAAAGGCAAATATTATTTCTAAGATCGAAAGAGAATTACAAAAAATGTAGTGAAAAATCTTATAATTTGGCAGTAAAATGCGATTATGAAAAATCAGAATTAATGTCTGAGCCCAATAATTTTGCAGATGAAAACAATTATCTTAATTATTCAAAAGTATCGCATGCAAATATAGAGGAAGAATCAGAATTAGCTGTTGACTCAGATGTAGAATCAGCTATAAACTCAAATAATAGATCAATCACTAATCATCAATATTTATTTACTTCTGCTTTATGTAATGTTTTTGTCATACATAATATTACACATGTACAAGGTGATGCTATTTTACGTATTTTGAGATCACATCACTGTTTATCGTATTTACCACGTTTAACTAGAACTTTTCTGCAAACACTAAAAAATTCAAATTATAATATTATACCATTAGGTTCAGGTCAATACGTTCATATCGGTTTCGAAACAACTCTTCAAAATAGATTGATATGCATACCTGTAAATCAATTACCTACTGAAATAATTATAGAGATATAAGCACAGATGGTGTAATATTGAATGGATCTAGACAATTTTGGCCAATACAATATAGAATAAAAAATATAAATAGTAAACCTATTATAGCTGGAGTTTATATAGGAAAATTGAAACCATGTGATCCTCATAAATTTATGGAACGATTTGTTAATGATGTTCTACAAGTGATACAAAATGGTGGAATATCCATTAATAATAGAAAAATTCCTTTACGCATTAGATGCTTTATTGATGTTGCACCAGCAAGAGCATTAATTTTAAATCATAGAGGTCACATGTCTTCAAATCCATGTTCTAAATGCAAAGTTGAAGGGTTTAGAGCATCTAATAGAATGGTATTTAATGAGTTTGATTCACCATTACGAACTGATTTTGAATATAAAATGTGTATAGATACAGAACATCATAATGGTGAAAGTCCATTATCTGTACTTCCAATGGGATTAGTTTCAAATGTTCCTTTTGAATACATGCATTTGGTTTTGCTTGGGGTGACTAAAAAATTGATTATTGCATGTCTTGAAGGGAAGTATGCCGTGTCAAAATTGTCTGGTAGACAAATAAACACAATTTCAAGAAGATTTATTTCTTCTAGCGTTTATTGTCCACGTGAATTTTCTCATCGGTGTAGAAATATTGTAAAATATAAAACCTATAAGGCTACTGAATTTCGTACATTTTTAATATACACAGGACCTTCTGTATTATGTAACGTGGTGACACAGAATGTTTATATACATTTTTTATTGTTATCCTGTGGTATCCGCATTCTTATGTCCAATATTTCATCTGATGAAAATATCTTATTTGCAGAAAAAGCATTACGAACATTTGTAATTCTTAGCGAAAATTTGTACGGAATAGAATTTATGTCATATAATTGGCACGGTTTACTTCATCTTGCCAACGATGTAAAACTTTTAGGGAAGTTAGATTCATTTTCCGCATTCGATTTTGAGAATTATATGCCAGAATTTCGGAATTTTATACGTAAACCTCATCTTCCATTGCAACAGTTTGTACGAAGATTACACGAGTTGAACTTATGTACTGTATCCTTAAAATCAAATAATTCTGACGGTATAGTACGTGCATCTTGTATTCATAAACGTGGTCCTCTTTTACGTAATATCCCTTCGACATGTACTCAATTCAAATTATTAAAAGTAGGTCATATTACACATGGATGTAATGAACGTGACAATTGTTGTATCTTAAAAAGTGATATTATATGCATTATAGAAAACATTGTTCAAATCTCAACAAAATATTATTTTATTGTTAAAAGATTTAAGAAGGTTAACAATTTTTATGATTATGTAATTGAATCAAAATCAATGGGAGTGTTTGAGTGTTTTAATTTATCTGAACGATTTATTATTGCTTTATCGGATGTATATACTAAATGTTTTAGATTCTTTGTTCTTTCAGAAGAAAAATCTAATCCCTCTCTTTTCTCTCGCTCTTTTCCGCAGACTTTCCTATCCTCTCTTTTCCCCTGGAGGAAGGGTATCGTCGTCGTCGACCTGCGTGGGATCTCACCACCTCTCTCTGCAAGTAAGTCCTTATTCTATCCATAAGAATCATCATGGACGTAGACGACCCCCAAATAGCGGCCGCCCTTGAGGCATTGATTTCTGAGGCAGGCTCCACGCCTGATCCTCGCGCCAAAATAAGCGCTAAACGACACTGTGAGAAAGACCTGTCATCCTCCTCCAGCAAGAACTTGGGTACAAGCACTGAAGACAGTGTCAACTCACTTCATGGTCCAGTTTCTGGATCTTCCATCTCTCTTTCAGACAGCATCCGTGACAACCGCTATTCGGCCAGTAACGCCGGACCCTTTGATGTTCATATTCAACGTCTCTCTAATCCAAAGTCTTCGCTACACCCCACTTTTGTAGGAAGAGTCATTTGTGAACTCGACGTAAAAGAGATCTTGGAAATAAAGAAAATTGGATATTCTAAAGCCTCGGTTTTCTTTAAAACCAGAGAGGCTGCCAACGCCTTAGTAGAAGACAAGAGACTCTCTCTCAAAGATCTAGAAGCATTCATTTCCCCCTTCCGCACTTCTAGGAAGGGCATCATCAGAGACGTCCCACAGGATTTTTCTGACCATAAGATCCTAAGTAATATCACAAGTCCGATCAAGGTTGTCGCTGTCAACAGAATGAATCGGAGAACCACAACTAACATTTACACGGATTCTCAAGAAGATTCTTCATCTTCATCTGTCACTTACGTGCCTTCTCTCTCTGTCTCACTCACCTTTGAGGGACAAAAGATCCCGAATCATGTCTACATGTTTCACGTCAGGTATTCCGTGTCTCCATATGTTGCAAGAGTCTCACGATGCAATCGCTGTTTTAGATTGGGGCACATCCAAACCAACTGTAAAAGTCAGCCACGCTGTGCACATTGCGGTGACAAAGGACACACCTATTTCAAGGAGAACTGTCAACGTGCTCAAAACCCGCCAAGGTGCGTGAATTGCCAGGGTGAACACAGAGCAGACTCTACTCTCTGCCCGGAACTATCCATACAGAAGGAGATCAGGAAATACGCAGCCTATAGAAACGTTTCTCTGTTAGACGCGAGAGAAATCTTTAAAGGTAACAGAACCCCTCCGTCCTATTCCTCTTCCTCGGAAGACTTCCCCAACCTACCTTCTACACATCCTAAAACTCAGGCCTCTCACTCTAACTCCTACTCGCTCCCCCCCCCTCTCTACCTCCATTTCTTCCTCTCTTTCGTACGCCAACGCCTCCAAACATCTTTCTTCCAACCTTACAACTCGTCCTACCCCCCGTTCGAACCTAACGCGAAATTCGAAATTTAAATCCGTTTCTCTGCCCCAGCTCGAACAATCTAATAGACTCCCCTCTCCTTCTCGTTTTCAAAAACAACCCCGCTCAAATGTCTCCTTTTCTACTCCCTCCACTCCCTCTTTTCCTCTCCCGGCTTCTCCTCTTAACTCGATCGCTCACTCTAACTCTAAACATGACAAACTTTCCACCTCCAACCCTCCAACTCTTCATGAGACCCTTCTTCCCTTGGTCCCCCTTCTCTCTCAACTCTCTCCTCTACTTTCCTCCATCAACTGGTCCGATGCCATTCCTGCAATCATTCAGTTCCTTCACGCTTTCGCTGCTAATCCGGCTCCCGCCCCCTCTCATCCCTCCGTAAATGACTAACTGTCACTTTCTTAATGGCTTCTCCCTATTCCAATGGAACTGCCATGGCATCCTTAATAAAACGGACATCCTCTCCCAAATCGGAAGCCAATACGACATCCTAGCTCTATCCGAAACCTGGCTCTCGCCGGACAAAT